CATTTTTCAACGATCTTTTCGGATCGATTAAATTACGCGATTAAACGAAATATAATTTTAGCAATTTCAGTATAAAATTGGATTTTTACTTTCCTTCAAAATTAACCGTTTTACTAGAAAAGTTGTAGGAATTATTTTTAAGGTTCCCCATGAATTGGCGAACATTCTCTATTTCTGTTAAAGATTTCTGTTAAATGGAGAATTATTTCTCTCTAAATTCTAGAAAATTTGTTTCCTTTGGTTCTTTTAGAATATTTTTTTTTTAGATATTTAAAGGTATTCATCATATATTCACATTTTAAGATATAAATCATCTTTACCGATCGCGACCGAAATTCTTTCTTTAACATCGCCCATTATTTCTGGCTTAGCGGACTCTGTTGTGGGAGAGAACTATCACTGGGTTGCCAGTATCACTTATATTTCACCTTTAATGGCAAGTTCAAAATTTGCTTAAAGAGCGAAAACCGAAATTCCGATGGTTTGACTTCCATAATTGAAGCATTCTCCCCATGTCAATTTTCTCACTTTTTTTCAAGTATGAATTATTTACTATAAGGATTTCCATGCTTTAGAATTTCACTGGTAATTTTTGATGTTTGATGTTTTAGTTCTTAGCATTCAAAGCAAAATATTTGACCTTTAAATTAAGGAAAAAATTGATGGAAAAAACGGAATAAGCTATAGAAACTGTAATTGTATACTTATCTCAATTTCGAATCCTCGTGACATCAAGTCCTTTGTTTTCCTTTACAGATAAAATATATTTTCTTCTTTATTCGCGTTTTTTTGCGAAACTTTTCATTTATTTTTCCACTTTTTCTGACTTTTTGATCGACAAAAGTTGTTGTACTGTTGAATATCACTGTTTATTAATCAGTTATTTGCATCCCTTTTTTTTAAATATAGTTTTTTCAGATCTGCGGAATCAACCAAAAATATTTTTTTTTAAGTTTCAGCGTCAATATTTGAAAAGAAAAGATTCACGAATGAAAAGAGGATAATTTTTCCATTCGAGAGGAGGGTATCACTAGCATGGTTTTAATCAAGAAGCAAGTTTTAAACACGGTTATATTGTTTGTTTAACCATCAGTTTTAACTGTTTGCGGCTTTGGTTTTTGGTATAATTGGAAATCTTCTCAGTGTTTATGATCACCTGATTTTGCTAGTTTACTGATGTTGAATACCGAATATTTTCTTTAGTTTATTTACTGAATATTATTAATCGCGATGGAAGGAAAGAGTTCGACTTCTGATTCCGATAGTCCGTTTTCTTTAAAAAATTCGCTTTTATATACCTTCATTGCAAGTAAGTAAATACCAATAGTTAGCTAGCGATAAGTGCTAATTATGCTGAATGGATGAATAAGATTTTAGATTTTTTTGCATTTTGGAAAAAGAACGACTTTATGAATTTATGCGGTTTTCCGTAAAAATTGGCTTTTATATATTTGTTGTATATACTTTGTGTTGTTGTTTAACAACTAGCGAAAGTTTATTGAAGTTATTTGTTTCAAATGCTAAATATTTTTAAATATAAATATTTATTTCTAAATATTTTTTCTTTTTTAATGTATTATTGTCTAATATTTTTAGTATTTGGTTGAATTCACTTAAATTATGATTTATTTTATTTATTTATTAAATTTATTTCCATTTATTTTTATTTTCGATTATATATTATATTATAATATTATTATAATTATAAATATACATATATTATGAGGGATTTCGAGTTTCAAATTTTATTTTGTTTAAAATTTCTAGGTTTGTATTCAGATTATTTTTAATAAATTTTTTTTCTTCCTATTTTCACGTAAATGACGAAAACTTTTTTTGCGATTCACATGGAATAAATTATTTTTTTCCATAGTTGTCAGAAAAATTTCCTTACATTTTCCATGGTTGTTTGTTCTCAAATGAAAGTTTTTTTTTTAAGAGAAGATTATTCCCCCTTTTGTTCTTCTATATTTCTTGATTCGTAGCTAAGGAATGGTTTCAGCTATGGATTGATTTTTATCCAGAAGCCAGGCATGCAATATATTCGTGGAATTCCGTTCATTTGTGAATCAATTTTGCAGTTGTTTTCAGTGAAACGATAAAATTAGTTTCGATTATATTCACGTTGTTATATCTTTTTGTTAAAATTATTATTTCCGATTTTATCATTTACAGGATTGAAAGACAGCAGTCATTCATTTCTTTCCCATCTTATTGAATACAATACAGTAAATGATGAAGTTTTATTGCTTGTTGGATTTTTGCAATTAACATTAAATTTACTTGTGAAGAGACTCGTAAAAAAATTATTTTTTGCCAACTTTTCTTCGGAAGTTCAACAGATAAACATTATATTGGGAAATAAGCATTTCAAATGACTAAAGATCGGCTTAGCGCTCTTAAAGCGGTTTGTTCCAATTATTTTTTTTTAGATGTATAGAGAATTTTCAAGTTTTTTTACTTAATTATTTCTCCTGTTTTCAATGGTTGCTTTTCTTTTTGTTTGATATTCAAAGAAGAACTAGTATAAAATATACTATTTGTAGCGTAAATAATTACTGTTTTTATTTTTAGGCGCAGTCGGACGATGATCGCGAAGATGATTTGGGTGCAGATAATGCCCAAAGCCAGTTTATGGAAGAATTCTTTGAACAGGTCGGTAATTTAATGCACACGACGAGTTTTTAATTTTTATAAAAATTCGTATATTGTGTAACAAGAAGAGATAAATGAAGAGGGTAAAACTAATTAAGGAATTAATGAAATAATTTTTCTCGTTCTACTGGTTTTACAATTCTTCTTCTAACAGCTCTCAGTACCAGTACTGGTTAAGGTGGCTCCAATGGCTACAAGGGTATGACGCTTCCAAGCGACGCTTTCTGATGCCATCGTAAACAGTAATAGAAGCCATTCCTTTTTCTATCGTTTAAGTCCACATATTGCTGGCCCACCTTTACGTTCAAAGCCTTTCCTGACCGTATAAGTCCAGGTGTTGATTGACCTCTCTTTTGACGCCATCCATCACACGGTTAAGCAAGTAGTGAAATATGGGACAACTCTTGTGGACGACGGATTGCCCTAACCAGCGAAGGCTCTGATAGCATTATGTATGCAAGTGGTATTTGAACGAAGATGGTTCATGTGATATTTTATCCACTCAATGGACCCGTAAAATGCACCTTAGATAAAAGTGGTCAAAGGTAGATAGTCTCTTAATCCTCCACTCTCATTGGCCATCTCTCAGAGCCATATAGCAAGATCGAACAAATCACGGTTATATACATACGGAATTTCGTTTTTATGGTAATTTCATGACGGTTCCATAAAAGTTTCGTTAACCGGAAGAATGCATTTCTAGTTGCTGGGATCCGGGTTGTAACATCGTCTTTTGCCTAGCTATTTGGTATTAGAGTGGACTCAAGATATTTAAAATCGGTCAATGAAAAAAGGCATTTTATCAGCTTCTTGCACATAAGACGAAAAGATTTTCGTTTTATGTACATTCACCCTGAGTCCTATTCTTGCTGCAGTTTTTGACTCGTTATTTGGCATTATTTACATTTCATCATAAGGACTACATCATCAGCTTATTCAAAATCTATGATACGATGCTTTGGATTAATTTGGACACCTCTAGATGACTCTTGCGTACCGACAAGCGGTGTCCATTTGCAGCCTATCGCATAGTTGAATATTGTAGGAGAAAGGACACAACCTTGACGGACTCCAGTCCTTATTTCGAAGGAATCTGTCAGTTCCCCATATACACACCTGCGCCGATATGTGCTCATAAAATGCCTTTATGAGTCTAATGATTTTCTCTGAAACATCTTCAAGAGAACACGTTCCATCACCCTCCAAAGCACCGCACTATTAATTGAATCAAAAGCCGTCGCAAAGTCGTTGAAACACGTGACAGTGGGTTGCAAATATCTAAAGCGATGTTCCAACACCATTCTTAATGTGAATATCTGATCAGCTCAATCGTGTCCCGGTCTAAATCCAGCTTGATTAGGGCACATCATGCTTACCCTACTTCCTTAATTCTGTTGAATAAAAGGGAAGCAAAAATTTTTCGCTGAAATGTCTAGTAGGGTGATTCCTCGATAATTGGCTTAGTATGTCCCATTATCTTTCTTGAGAATTGAATTGGAGGCAAAATTTTTTGCTGCAATCATCTGGTAATTTTTTTTTTCCAAACCAGAGAGTATATTTGTTGAAGATTCGTTATGAAGGACGATGAACAACATTTAAAGAGTTTAGCGTCTTTTCCCGGAGTCTTCCCGAAGACCATCTTCTTCCAGAGTCTTTTTGGCCTTAAGCTTATGGAGAATTATTTCTTCTGTTGGAGGTTCGCAGTTGCAACAGATGGCGCTTCATGGTAAAGTTTGGTGGCCTCAAAGAATTCTTTCCATCTTATGAGAGCAATCCTTAATACTTTTGATTAGTACTCCATTGCTGTTTCTTACCATTTCACTGATCATTCTCTAGCGAGTCATAGTTGCTTTATGAAGAAGGCAGAATAGTTTCCTGTTGTTTCCTATTATCGCCTAATCAAGCCGTTTCCATTCTCTATTCCATTCTCTAGGCCATGTCACTCCAATAGTAATTTTTGTCCCGCCTTGCCGTGTTTCAAATCTCCGTAGTCAGGATCTTCTGACATTCGTTGCTTTGGCAGCTTTTTTAGACAATTGGACAGTTGCTTCAGATACCCTACTAGCGCACTTCCTACTAGTATGCCCTAGTGTGGAAGCATGACTTTCGAAGATGTTCCTTTAGTTGGGATCAGTATATTCATTTGATGTTCCAGAAAAATCATTGATATTTATATCATTGAGATGCTTAATTCAATAATTCGATTTGAAATGCTCTTACTGTCCCCAAATTTTTTAGTTTGAGATAGTTGAAGAATCTTGGGGGATGCTTTTTTTTGCTGATATATTTGAATACACTTTTGTTTTCGTCGTATATAGCTATTAAGAAAAATATTTAATTATGAAATAATTTACCATTTTCAAAGGGATAATCAACTCCATTTAAGTGCGTTGGAGAAATCGAGTTATTTTTAGTTTTTCATTTTCTATATTTTTTATCTTTAATAAATGACGTGAATAATCAAAAAATTAATTTAATTTAGATAAATTTAGAAAAATCTTAAAATATAAAAAGAAATTTCATCTAAATTTAAACGAGAGTTATTTCAAGAGAATGTAAGTCATTATGGACATTGTCAAAATCCCTATTTTTTATCCAGGTAGAAGAAATTCGTGGAAGTGTCGAACTAATCGCATCCAATGTTGAGGAAGTGAAAAAAAAGCATTCGGCTATTCTTTCGAATCCCGTTAATGATCCCAGTACGCTTTATATTATTACATTTACGTCTAGCTAGTCTGTTTTTTTTGTAAGAGCATTCACATTGCTAGTTAAGCTGGCTCGCCTGAATTATCAGATTAGATAAATATGTAAAGGAACCCTTTGTTGATAGAAATAAGGAATACTGGTGAGTCACCAGCAGCACTCAGGTTTTTGAAGCATAGATTTACTCTTGGCGGGAGAAGAAAAAAACCTTAGCATCGCTCTATATTAAACAGCAATCACTGAGCCATTCTACTCTCTTTTGCCTTCTCTGTTAGGCAACAGTACCCGATGAAGCGCGATACATCGGCTGGATTCGAACCCAAGCTTCGATTCTCCGTGCATCTTGTCATCACGGTGCGTCTTTGAAATAATTTGATTAGGTTTCAAAAAAATTAGTTTGTAGAATGTTTCATTTGCAGAAACAAAGGAAGAACTGGATGAACTTATGGCCAGTATCAAGAAAACTGCTAACAAAGTTCGTGGAAAACTAAAATGTATGTTATTATGTTATTTCTTTTAACATTAGGTAACTTTATAGTGCATAAACATATAAGATTGCTTGGGCCAAGTGGTTTGATACTTTTTCTGGTTGCTTTTTTGCATTAAAATTTCATTTTTTATATTTTTAAATATTTTATTTTTTTTTCTAAAGGTTTTAATTTCAGTGATAGAAAACAGCATTGAACACGATGAAAGCAGTGGTATGTCTTCAGCAGATTTGCGAATTCGTAAAACACAGCATGCAACATTATCGAGAAAATTTGTTGAAGTCATGACTGACTATAATAAGACACAAACTGATTATCGAGAGAGATGTAAGGGACGTATACAAAGACAACTTGATATTGCTGGTAAACAAGTTGATGACCAGGTTTAATTATTGATGAATCTTTTACTTTTTTGCCACTGGTTTCAAGAAATTTATTTTTTTATTTCAATTTCTTCCATGCGTTTGCTTTAATTTTTTATAGAAAATTTTATTATTCCTCTATGATTTTTTTGCTCTCATTAATAAGAATGAAAAAAAATGAGATTTATTGATTTTAAATAATAGGAAATATGAAATATAATAGAAGATATTGTATTTTCGAAATTTCGAGAAAATATATTAATTTTAACGCAACAATTTTTGTAGGATTTGGAAGAGATGATTGAGTCGGGGAATCCAGGGGTTTTTACTCAGGGAATAATAACGGATACTCAACAAGCACGACAAACACTTGCTGATATCGAGGCAAGGCACAACGATATTATGAAATTGGAATCAAGCATTCGGGAATTGCATGATATGTTCATGGATATGGCCATGCTTGTCGAGTCCCAAGTTAGTTTTCACTACTGATAAAAAGGATTTAGTAACATTTTTCCTTAGAAACAATTTTTTCTTTTTAATTTCAATTATTCAATTAGTGCTTCTTTTGGCTCATCGAAAACTAGGCGTCTTCATTTCTATATTTCTCTCCAAATGTGGTTTTTTTCTTATTGATAAACTTTAGCGCTAATTTTTGCATTATTCCAATGAAGCAAAAACATCTTCAGATGATAGAGCAGAAAATTCTCATCTCGCGTGATAAGATATATATATATATATATTATGAATTTAATTTAGTACAACTATATTTAATTTTAGACTCTCATTTATGTGCTTTTTAAAGGGTGAAATGGTTGATCGAATAGAATATAATGTTGAACATGCGAAAGAATTTGTTGATCGAGCTGTTGCTGATACGAAAAAAGCAGTGCAATATCAGAGTAAAGCCAGACGGGTTTGTTTTTCCGCATATTTTGTTTTTTTATTGTAAGGCTAATCACTGTTTAATGTGGTAGACAATAAGTTTTATTTCAATTTTTTAACAAAAAATTTTATAAATTTTAATTGGTATTGTATTAATGTAGAACTCTTCGAAATCGTCTCTGCATGTTGCATGTCATTCTTAGATTTTTTGAATGGTATTTGTTTGCTTTTTGCATGTCTTCTTTTGTTTTAATTAGCAATCAGTTTGTTTTTTTTTTATTAATATTACATTACTTGCCAATAGTACAACTACATAGTATTATTACTACATAAAATAGTATTATTAAAATAAGAGAAGCAATGCTTTATTTTTTATGAAAAAACTAATATGGATAAAGCCAAAAAATTTGGCTACTTCTATAACATCTTTGCTTGGCTATAGTTTTTTTAAAATTAATATTTTGTTACCACCTTAACTACCCTACCGATTTTGTTGAATATTCAAAGGCTTGATAGTCATAATCATATAAATGTATCGAAGTGGTTTTTTTTTTATTGGTTTCCTTTCTTTTTGGGATTTCTTTATTTATTGTTTTTATTGTTTATTTCATTTAAACTTAAGAAATGTGAAATAAAGTATTAAGTATTTTGGTGTAAAACCAAAAATGAATTTGGCAACATTTTGTCAAGCCTTTATCGCTAGAGTTGAAAAAACTCCACATATTTTTCTCATCTTATTGTCGGAATTCAATTGAAGCAATAAATATAAATATTATTCACCATAAAGACGAAAATCTGAGTCCATATAGCTGCAATTAGCTCGATTTTGCTATATGGCTGCAAAAAATGGCCAATGAGAGTGGAAGATATTAAGAAGGTATTAGCTTTTGACCAGTCATGTCTGAGGTACATTTTACGGATCCATCGAGCGGATAAAATATTACATGATCGCATCCACCCTCGTTCAAATACCACTTGCATTAATAATGTTATCACAGAGCGTCCTTCGCTGGTTAGGGCCTTCCGTCGTAAACCACAAGAATTGTCGCATATTACTTGCTAAACCATGTGATGGATGGCGTCAAAAGCGAGTTGGGCCAGTCAAGACCTGGATTACAGTTAGGAAAGATTTTGAATATATATAGGGAGACCAGCGATATATGGACTTAGATGATGGAAAAGGGAATGGCTTCTATCACTAATAGCGGTGGCGTCGGACCGAGCAGCTTGGAGTCGTCTTACCCTTATAGCCAGTCTAACCAGTAATGATGAGAGCTGTTAGAAGAAATAAATATAAATATAAGTGTAATTATTTTTAATGTTAAATTATTTTAAAAATTAGGAATTAACTAAATTTATTCCATCATCTCACAGATAGCATTAATGATTTTCACAGAATTTTCCATTTTTTTCCCCTCTACGTTCATAAATTTCTATTTGAAAAATTTTTGGGCAAGAAATTATTGGTTTATTTCCCTGAATAAAGGTGTTTAGGCAAAATTGGTATAGTAGAGGAAAAATATTCCATGGAATTTATCACAGTTTTTTTGTGTTTTTTTAAAAAATTTTCGAGATATTGGGTTTTTGCTATTTTTTGAGGTTATGAGCAATTGAAATATTTTTTATAATTGTTCAATAAAAATTATTGTATCCTTTTAGCCTTTTAAGAATTCATAACAATAGTATGAATGTTTATAATGAATCTGATGAGATGAGATTGTAATAAAATCGATTTTAAAAGGAAATCAGTCGTTGGATCTAATTTTGCTTATTCGCTTATATTTTTGCCTTAACTTTGAATCATTTGCAGAAAAAGATTTTTTGCATAATAACTATTGTGGTAGCATTGCTGATAGGCATTCTGGCGGTTATAATTTATATTGCCGTGAATAATTCTCGTAAAACCGAAGAACGTGTGATTGAACGAGTTCATCTTTATGAAAATGCGACTTTACCATTTTTCAGTAGTCGTTATATTGTAAATAATAACTATTTTGTTGGAGAGAGATAAAGTGTAAAATGATGGAGTCAATAATGAAAATCATTACTTCTTTGATTCCTACTCCTCCTGTTTCCTTTTTTGCCACTAAGAAATCATTTTCATTTTCTTTTTTTTCCTTTCCGTCTTCTTTCTGTCTTCTGTATATAATAGCAAAAATCCTTTATTGTTTTAATTCTATAAGCGAATAAACAGATTTGTTTTATCAATCCTTAGATTTTTACTTAAATGTCTTTAAAAATTCTTAAGGAAGATAGGACGTTTTTTCGAGAAGTTATCGCTAATTGACAATTCTATTGTGTTGACTGTAAAATATTTCGTTTTATTTTTGCTTTTATCTTTATTACATGACTGCTTTAAAAAAATGGTAATTTAATGACAACCAAATAATGAGAAAAATATTACACTAATTATGGCTAGTAAAGCAGTTAAAATAGGTTTTTTTTTCTGGTAATACTACCATTTCTGGTTTGTTTGATATCACCAGTTACTAGGATGATATCGCTTCGCTAGTGCGGCGTTTGGAGATCGATACGCAAATGAACTTCCAGCATCCAGCACCGCCAGATTTATAAAGACGAACCGTACCTGTAATGGCTTGATTCTGCCTTGGGGAATAGTAGTTGGTCATAGTGGTAATAGTGGTAATAGGTTTTCGAAATTGTTTTATTTTGGCTTATCTATATTATATATCAAAATTTCGTCTTTCACTCGCTTGTGCCAATGGAAGGAAGAATTAACTCAGAGACGCGTGCATGCGCCTTATTTATGTCTTTTGCCTTTTATAGAATTTTATTTAATATTTTTCTAAAAATAGTTTTATTTTTATCGTTTTTTATGTTATAGTGAATTTTATGCAGGCATTTTCTAAATAAAATCTGTGGAATAATGCTCTTTTTCATTGTACATTTTCAATTTTTGTGATGGTTTGTTGTCAAATTCTTACAAGTATAAGGATTTGTTTGTATTCATCGTGTACCGTTGTACAAGTTTTGTGCCTTTTCTGTTTATTTAAGTTTTTTTTGTTTTTATGGTAATGTACATTATTATTTGTTGTTTTTTTTTCGGTGAATATATTAAATAGAATTCTGATGTTGTAGAATTTAATATTTCAGTTATATCAAATTGCATTCAAGTAGGAATTTTTGAAATTAAAATTTATTTTGCTAGAATGAAGTTTAAAATTTGGAAAAATTCCAAACTTTAAAAACTATTTGTGTTGTTTATGTTGGTGGTTGTGATTATAGATTTTTAAATTTTTAGATAATTTTTCATGCTTTTTCATAATGCATTAAGATTTCTGATTAGAAACCAACTGTAATATAGAAATTAATAGTAATATAAATGCTTTTTTGAAGTAATCACATATATAGTAATATTACTCGACCGGTTAATTTGCTAAATTAACTTTCATTTTTTTCACTTTCATTTATTAGCTAGTAATTGTATGTGATTCGCTTTATTAATGAATTAATATTTCAGAAGAAAATCGTCATATTAATATGCGTAACAATACTAATAGCAATCATTGCACTTATGTTATTAACGTTTATCCCGAATCCATTTTAATGTTCTCACCTATTTATTCCGATTTTAAATGATAATTTAATTTATTTAGATTGATAGGTCTTTATTTTTGGCCTTCAAGTTAATACATTAATATATTATATACTGATAAATTAACATTATCCATTGATAAATTTTTGAATATTTATTAATTGCCACGTGTGAAGCAAGAAATTTTAATAAAAAGGATTATTATTATTTCTTATTATTATTAAATAGTTGTGGAATGATTCATTCTTTACTAATTTGTATTTTTTGGGGGATATAAAGAATTTATTAAAACTCATGTTACTTTCTAAATTTCTATGATCATTTTGAGATGGATAATGATGGCTTAGAAGCAATAAATTTTTAGAATATTTTAATCCGATATGTATTAATGCCCTGTTATATAATCATTGATTTTCATATCAGATATATTAGATATATTTATTTATTATAGTCTTCTATTTTTTGTGGTGTTTTATTTTTTAATTATTTTTTATTTGTATTTATTGTTATTTTCGTCAATATTGCATATTTGAAATTTTTTTTTGATTTTGGTTAGGATTTTAGGCGCATTATTTGGGACAAAATTAGTATTTAATTTGAGAAAACTTGGATGGTTATTGTAAAAATCCATTTATTTATTTAAAAAATGTTGCTTAAAGTCCATCAGAGCACAAAGTGTAGTTTTTGGAGGGTTTCTTCTAATTTCACCCTTACCAAGTTTTAATTTCTTAATCACTAAAGTGTAGTTTTTAATTTCTTAATCACTAAAGTATGGAAAATCAAATCCATAGATGGCAGCTGCACTTTACAACCGAAGAAAGGTTGAAAGATCGAAAGAATAAAAATCTTTCTTTTTAATTTGAATTGTTTTTCACTGTGAAAAGTTTGTTTTTTGCCAAAAATGCAATAAAGAATGATAAAAAATCGAGTCCCTAGAAATTTTGTTTTTGATGTATAATTTTTTTAAATTTTTTGATGTTTTTGGCAAAAATATTGTAATATGAGTCTAAAGGCAATAGAAGCGGCTTTGCGAATGCTTTTGAATGAACTGCTAACTTTTTTTTATTCTTTTGTCAGTTTCTTTTGTCAGTTCGTTTTTGCTTTCTTGACTTGACCACCTATTTTGCCAATGTTCAGTTTTATTGGCTCAGTGATGACCTTTTATTCACCTCATTTTATAATTTTTCAAAAGCATAATTATATTCATATACAAAGTTGGCGTAATATATAATTTTACAGGGAAGGGTGAAGGTTTCGGTCAAGAAAGGTTAAGAAATTTAGGTTCAAGATTAGTCTTGAATTTCTGCCGTGTTTTCTGTGATTCCCTTTCTCATTGGTCAGATTAATTGTAATTAAAGTGCTTCTTTCCCTTGGCATATTAATAAATTTCTTTTTTTTCAAATTACGAGATTTTTCCAATGAATGATTTTCAATTGTGCATTTTATTCATATATATCGCAGATATCCGCGTAATTTGTCGTATTTTTCGGCCACATTTCGCATTCATGTTT